ACTCCATTTGGTGCTTGGCTGAGTTCTTTATCTCTTCATTTGATGTTTTAGGGTTTCAGGATTGTTGTATTCTCTGTTCGGCTTAGTTTTTCGGATCTTTGCCATGGAGAGATGGCGTGGTGCTTCTGCCTAGAGCGCCATTTTTCCGGAACTCCTCACCTTCATTTTTGAATAACAATTTTGCTGGGTACGTTATTCTTGGTTGATAGTTCTTTTATTTTGGTGTTTTAAATATTTTATCCTATTGCCTTCTTGCATGCTTGGTTTCTGATAAGAAATCAGCACTTAAAGTTATTGAGGACGCTTTGCGGTACATTTTTTTTTCTGTGCTATTCTCAAAATTCTTTCTTTGTCCTTTGTTCTGGATAGTTTGATTATGATATGCAAAGGCTGTTGGGATTTTTATCGGAATTGCATTGAATATATAGATTGCTTTGGTTACTATTGCCATCTTAACTATGTTAAACCTTCCAATCCATGAACACTGGATGTCTTCTCATTTATTTAGGTGTTCTTTTTTTTAGCAATGTTTTATAGTTTCCTATGTACAGGTCTTTCACCTCCCTGGTTAAATTAAATCCTAGACAAGTTATTCTTTTGAATACTATTGTAAATGGTAATGTTTCCATAATTTGTTTTTCTCCTTGCATACTGCTGATTTCTAGAAATCCAACTTATTTTTTTTCCCTGCCACTTTGCTGAATTCATTGATTCATTCTAATAGCTTTCTTGTGGATCCTTTGGGACTTTCTATGTATAGAATCATGTCATCTCTGAAAAGGATAGTATTACTTACTCCTTACTAATTTGGATCCTTTTTTATTTTTATTTTTCTAGCCTAATTGCGCTGGCTTGGACTTCCAGAACAATGTTGAATAGAAGTGGTGAGCGTTGGCATCTTGTCTTATTCCTGATCTTAATGGGAAAGCTCTCAAGAGTTTTTGTTTTATTTAATGAATTATAACCCATTGCTCTCATTATTTTAATACTTAAATTTTTCCAGATTTGAACAGTGGGAGTCCCTTCCAGCTGGCCCTGTGTCCTTTTGACATATCGCTCTTTCTTTGAGCCCTTCTGTAGTTTCTGGTACAAGAATTGTTCCAGAATCATCTGTGACCTCCCTGAACCAACCCTGTTCCCAAATGAGCCTGTTATCCAAGGAGAAACGTGTTTAGAAACCAAAGTGTAGGCACGAGCTGAGCTCATTGCTGATGTGCTGTTGTGACTTCTGGGCCCTGTCGGTGAAATGAGCAGAGAAAACTTGACCTTTATCACGGGTGAAGGAGGAAGGAGAGAGGAAGGATGTGTGCACGTATAAATATAGAAACATACATTCATAGGTATAGAAACAAATACACACACACACACACACACACACAAACATGTAACATACTCATACATTCACACATACTTCTTTATGAGACTGGGGTTCCCATGTTGTTCCTGTGGTTAGTTGCCGTTGAGTTGGCTCTGTCTTCTGGTAGCTTTATGTATCATTGAGGATCTCCCTTGTTTTCTCTGACCCTCTACTTGAGTAACTAGGATGCCCTTTTCTAGTAGTTGGTCTTTCCTGGCGACGTGTCCAAAGTAAGTCTTCCCTATCTCAAAGCACAATTCCCAACTACCACATTTGCTTCAGTTTGCACCATCAGTCAAATACTGAAGGGCTGGAACCCTTCATTAGTGCTCAGTAATCCGTCTGCTCGGATACCTTCCTTTGACACTGCCAGAAAGCCTGGCTCCCTGCACTCCTATGGCATCTGCATGTGTCTGGAGACGAGGGAACTGGAATATGTTCAATATTGTTTGAAGGGTGTCTTAGTCACCTAGTGCTGCCGTAACAAGAATACCACAAGTGGGTGTCTTTAGAGAACAGGTATTTATTGTGTCCGAGTTCTGGAGGCTGGGTATCTGAGATCATGGTGTTGGCAGGGCCAAGCTTTCTCTCTGTCTCCTCTACATGAGAATACTTCCTGGTTTCATTTAGCTTCTGTGGCTCTGGGTGTTTCTAGGTATTTCTTGTCTTCTAGATGGGTCCTCACCTGGTGTCTGTCGTCCCCCTTCTGTGCCCATCTTTGAGTGCATGTGTGTGCATGAGTGAGTGTGTGAATGTGTGTGAGAGGGTGTGAGTGTGCGTGTGTGTGTGAGTGTGTGTGTGAATGTACGTGTGAGAGAGTGTGAGTATGCAATATGTGTGTGCGTGTGAGTGTGGGCACATACATGTGAGATAATGTGAGTGTGCAGGTGTGTGCATGCAAGAGTGTGAGCATGCACAGTGACACACACACACACACACACACACACACACACCTGTGCACAGAGATCCAGAGGATCATCTGTGGAGACGTGAACACCGACGTGGCCTCCCTGGTGCCCTCTGCTCCATGCCAGGGGACATGGGTGGGCCTGGGGCCGGAGTCCTGGTGCCCTACGGGGAGGCAGCAGATGACCACATAGTCTCAGTGCAGTGTCTGAGCTGATTCACTGGGCCCCTGTGTGTTGGGGGCTTTTTTATCTGAAGGGAATGTGAGGAGGGGATGATCAGACGACAGCTGCAGAGTGTGGGCAAGGCACTTGGGAAGGTGACCAGGGAATCGGATCCACAGATTACATGTGTCTTCAGAGGAGACATGCAGAGCAAAACCACCCAGAAGCCTGTGAGGGGCGAGTGCAACAGCAGAGGAAGGACAGTGTCTGTCCCCGGGCCTGGGTTAGGAGCTTCCCCACACACACCACATGTGCCAGTCAGGACCTTCCCATCAACCTGTCGGTGCTTCTGAGACCCCCAGGTGGGGAAATTGAGGCCAAGGGACAGAGTGGGGAGCCTGGCCTGGAACTTGGGCCAATGAGACGCAGGGTGAACAGATATCAAACCGCCCCCCGAGCCACTTTAATGCCCTGGTTTGGAGGAAAAATCATGTGGACACCACTTGTAGGTTTGTAGGGGTCCTGGGCCTCTCATTTATTTAAGCATTTGGAGGGTGCTCTTTTGGCAGAAGGAGACCCTGTGGGAAGCCCCCACGCCCCTTCCATGCTGTGGTTGTACATCATCTGGAGATCTGTGCCCACTGTCTGCCACGAGAGTCTCCAGTCTGTTAGATCGGCAAGGAGAACATCGTGGGTGCCCAGCCAGGCTGAGTGACCAGGGCGGACTTCCTGGATGAGGGGACACCTGGGTGAGTCTTGAAAGACAGAAGGTGTCAGAGCAGCTTTAGGACAAGCTCTCCGTGAGAATAAAGCACACAGACACCAAGGGGTGATGCTTGGTGATTTATTAAGTGCATGGCTCTCCTGAGGACACCCACCCCCAAGATGGCTCTGCTGGTCTCTGCAGGTGGTGGGCATGGGTCTCTGGGGCAGTAGCTCATGGACTTCCCCTTGAATTGTCCCACATACACATGAGGCAGATCTGCTCATCCCATTCCGGAGGTAAGAAGATTGAGACTCCAGCAGGTGAGGGCACTCGTGCACAGACTTGCACTCTTGTGGGCCTTCGTGGCTCCTCCCCAGTGCGCGCTCCAGATCTTCTGGGCTGAATTTGAGCAGGGACGGCTGGCGGGGGGAGATTCTACAGAGGGTTATTGGTGTGCTGAAACATTGGAGGGTTGTTTCAGAAGCCCAAGCACCCCTGAGAATGTGGCCAAAGCCCCAGAAGCTGCCTAGAGAAGTCTACAGATGCTCACTTTTTCACACACACCATGGGGGTCATGTCCAGGGACCCAGGCTGAGAGGTTCCCACCTCAGTGAGTGGTCTGGCTGTGATGAGACCCTGGCCCACAGCTGTAACAGAGAGGTTGGCTGAAGCCTGCCATGTCCCCTGCACCCTCCCCCGCCTCAGACTCTGCTCACCCCCGCTGGTCCCAGCTGTGAAGTCCTCGCTGCAGGAGTGGGGTGCTCCCAGGGGGCATGCCTGACCCCCGGAGGTCAGTAACACCACAGCCACATGGACCAAGGGGGTGTCACCCGGCCAGAACCACTGGTCAGAGTTGTTAATACAGGGAGCTTTGGGGTCAGGAAGATCAGGCTTTGGGTGGGAGTTCTGCTCTCTGAGCCTCAGTTTCTCATCTGTGAAATGGGGGTGGGGCCGCACCTACTTCATGGGGTGCTCTAGAATTCAAGATCAGCCCTGTGGTGGGTCACGCTTGCGCCTCTTTCCACACGTGGTGCTGGCAGTGCTCCGTGGCGTGACAGAGTGCAGCGGTCTCCTTGCTCTTGCACCAGAAGCTGGGGCCGGCGAAGCACTGGTCAGTGGCCAGCAGCTGGTTCTGGGGGCCGCGGCAGGCGCCCACCTTCTTGCAGATGGTGGTGGGCTCCATCATCCTCATGAGGCTGTCAATGAGCACGGGCTCATAGTCGGTGACGAAGCGGTCGCACTGCACCTGGTAGGGCAGCGGCAGGATGCTGCAGCCGCCCTTGAAGGCCGCCAGGATGTCGTTCCTGGCGCTCCTGCTCTGCAGGTTGCTGGCAGACACGTCCAGCAGCTTCTTGCAGCCTTTGCAGAAGCTGCCCTGGTTCTCCTCGTCCGGCAGCGCCAGGGGCCTGCTGGTGGGGGTGGAACCTAGCGAACGGGGTGCCCTCTGGGTTGAGCACACCTCCACCGCACGGCACACCTTATCTGGGGTGTCCTTGGTCACGAGGGGCGCCAGGTCAGAGCCGTGGTTGTCCACCAGGGAGGTGCACTTGGCCCGCAGGAGCAGAGGCAGGCTGTGGCATGCGTGCTCCAGGGCGCTACTGACGTCCTCCTTGGTGCTGTCACTGCCGAGCCACCCCTGCACCTCGTGGACCACTGCTGTGCACACGTCGCAGGCCAGGTTGGACGGTATCCCACTGATGAAGTTGAGCTTTGGCTCTACCGGCTTCAGCGTAGGGACCCTGTCTTCAGCAGACGCGGGGGGGCCCTGCGCCTGCCTCACCACCTGCAGGTCCAGGCATTGCTCAGGGGAGCCCTGGGAACATTCCGGGGAGGCAGAGATGGGGCTGGCGGAGGAGGCGGCCAGGAGGCCGAGCAGGAGCAGCAGGGCGGGCAGCATGCTGTCTGTGGCTTGGCGGTGCCTTCAGTGCTCAGGGCTGGCGTAGCCACGGTATAAAGCTGGTGCTCCCAGCCCCGCCTGGATGCCACCCGCAGCCTGCCTCCTGCCCCTGGGATTTCCAACCCCTCCCTTGCTCTGTTGCGGTACCTGGGCCCTGAGGGCCCACTGGAACCCCTGCCCTGGCTTGTTCCCTCCTAGAATGAGAGGCCCCGGGAGAACCACGGCCTGTGTTCAGGGGGGTCCCTGAGGGCACACGCCCTTTTTACTGTTTATTTTTATTGTGGTGAATGTCTAAGAAAACCTTTGTCGTGTGTACCGTCTTCACATAGACCGTTCAGTTACGTTAGTTACATTCACCATGTTGTTCCGCCGTCACCATTAAATGTCCCCGAATTCTTCCGTCACCCTTAATAGAGGCTCAGCGTCCCCTAAGCACTGGGTCTTCCTCCCCCTCCCTCCCCCCGCCCCTGGGGACCACTGATAAACTCTGATCTCTGCACATGCCTGTTCTAGCTGTTTCCCGTAAGTGGGATCCTACAGTATCTGTCCTGCTGTGAATGACTGATTTCACTCAGTGCCTTTTACTGGTTTTAGTTTTTATGTTTTTACACCCACGGTTTCGTGCCAGAAGCCTCAGTGAACTTGGTAACTTGGTGCCCGGCTCCTGCCCGCCCCTCCCTTTCCTGCACTTGGCTATGATGTTGAACTCCAGCCAGGTTCCCATCCGGCTCTGGCCCCGGTGGCTGCCCCATCGGGGGCTGCTCTCTCTGAGCCTCGGGTCCTAATCTGCGGAGCGAGGGCAGTGGGGCTCATAGTCCACACCGTCGGGGGCTGCTGGCTCTGAGCCTCGGGTCCTAATCTGCGGAGCGAGGGCAGTGGGGCTCATAGTCCACACCGTCGGGGGCTGCTGGCTCTGAGCCTCGGGTCCTAATCTGCGGAGCGAGGGCAGTGGGGCTCATAGTCCACACCGTAGGGGGCTGCTCTCTCTGAGCCTCGGGTCCTAATCTGCGGAGTGAGCGCAGTGGGGCTCATAGTCCACACCGTCGGGAGCTTGTGTGCAGAGGGTCTGCCGCTCAGTGACTTCCCTGGGGCACGGAGGGCGGGTGCGAGCCACGTGGACGCGCACCCCACACTATCAGGAACAGGCACACAGTTCTTAGCTTTGCTTTTCTTTCTAGTTTTGAAAAGTTCTTAGGGAAGAGGGTGGTTGCCAGGGAAGTATACCAGGCGTCAGAGTCAGATCCTGTTCAGTATGGGGCATTGAAGCTGAGGTTCCCTTTGGCCTTGTTTCCACGGCCCTGGGTAGTGGACAGGGTGAGAGGGTGGGTGGGGGCTCCCCTGGGCAGGGCAGGGATGGATGGGGGCTTCCCTGGGAAGAGTGGGGGATGGATGGGGGCTCCCCTGGGCAGGCAGGATATGGGGCTCCCCTAGGTAGGGTGAGGGAAGAATGGGGAGCTCCCTGGACTGCCTGAGCCCCTGGTGCGGGTGTGAGTCCCAGCTTGGGTACCTCCTCTCAGATTCCTGGACTTGGAGCCTCCACAGGAAAAGTCCCCAGCGATGTGGGTCAGCTCCTTCAGCCTGGAATTGCAACAGCTGAGTTGAGGAATGTGGACAGGGCTGTCTCCACCCGCCTTTCTTTGGGATTCAAGGTTGGGAGGAGAATGCAGAAAATCGAATTCTCATGGTTCATAAAATGCTTTCCAAAAATGGCTGTTCCTTTGAGGGTAGGTGAGGCTGGTTCTCTCGGCTGCAGGGGCCGTGGTGCCCAGGCTGTAGACTTTAGGGCAAAGTTGGGGCTGGGGATCTGGGCAGCTGAGCTGCGCTTGGCTCTGGTCTCGTGCTGATGTGGTTCAACAAGTTCCTTGCGTATCTGCTCTGCATTCAGCCCGCACCTCCTGTCTCCCAACGCAGCCCACCCTGCAAGGACCAGGGCCCAGGCGGACAGCACCCTGCCCACGGTGGGAACGTGCCTCTTTCCAGGAAGCCCCGAATATTCTCCTCGCCCTCCTATCCCTCAGGCCTGGCACAGTGCCTCGCTTATTAAGCCCTGTCGTTCGTTTTTATGTTTAGAAACTACCTGCGAGTCTCTTCTTCTGGAGTTTCAATCTTTAATGATTTTTTTAGAATAATTTTATCACCTCAAAAACAAATCCTGTACCCTTTAGCTATGACGCCCTATCCCTTCCTCTCTCCCCACCCAACCCTAAAAACAAACAAACAGGAAACCGCTTACCATCAAGTCGATTCTGACTCATGGCGACCCTATGTGTTACAGAGCAGAACTATTCCATAGAGTTTTGGGGCAGTAGTCTTTACAGAAGCAGGTTGCCAGGACTTTCTTCCTAGGCTCTTCTGGGTAGTTTCAAAAGGCCAACCTTTCAGTTACTAGTTAAGCGTAACTCATTTAAGATGCCCAGGGATCATCCTCGCTCTAGGTAACTACTAATCTACTCTCTGTCTCTATGGATTTTCCTATTCTGGACATTTCATGTAATGGAATCATACAATATGTGGCCTTTTCTGTCTAGCTTATTTCACTCAGCATGTTTCCAAGGTTCTTTCACGTCCTAGTACATGTCAGAACGTCATCCTTTTTTATGGCTGAATAACATTCCCTGTATGGATATACCGCATTGTGTTCATCCACTCGCCAGTTGATGGACATTTGGGCTGTTTCCATTTCGGGCTATAAATGCTGCTATAAACACTTGTGTACAAGGTTTTGTGTGGACGTAAGTGTTCATTGTCCTTGGGTGGACTCCTAGGAGAGGAACTGCTGGGTCTAATGGTAATTCCACGTGTGATTCTGAGGAACTGCCAGATTGTTTTCCAAAGTGGCTGCACCATCCGACCTCCGCCCAGCAGCGCCAATCTGTAGCTTTGTATTGACTTGTTCCCTACGTCCACCACTCATCTGTCATTTTATCACACTCTGGTGGCTCACGTGTTGCTGTGATGCTCGAAGCTTTGCCGCCAGTATTTCAAATGCCAGCAGGGTCGCCCATGGTGGGCAGGTTTCAGCTGAGCTTCCAGAATAAGACAGACTAGGAAGAAGGACCTGATGATCTACTTCTAAAAAAATTGGCCAGGGAAAACCTTATGAATTCCAATGAAACATTGTCTGATATGGTGCCGGAAGATGAACCCCTCAGGTTGGGACGTGCTCAAAATATGGCTGAGGAAGAGCTTCCTTCTCAGAGTAGAGTTGCCCTTAACAACGTGGATGGAGTCAAGCTTTTGGGACCATCATTTGCTGATGTGACGTGACTCAAAATGAGAAGAAACAACTGCAAACATCCATTAATAATCCGAACGTGGAAGGTAAGAAATACGAATCTAGGAAAATTGGAAGTCATCAAAAAGGAAATGGAATGCATAAACATCGATATCCTAGGCATTAGTGAGCTGAAATGGACTGGTGTTGGCTATTTTGAATCGGACAATCATATGGTCTGCTTATGCTGGGAATGACAGATTAAAGAGGAGCAGTGTCACATTTCTTGTCAAAAAGAACATTTCAAGATCTATCCTGATACAATGCTGTCTGTGATAGGATAATATCTATACGCCTACAAGGAAGTCCAGTTAATATGACTATTCTTCAAATTTATGCAACAACCACTGAGGCCAGAGATGAAGACATTGAAGATTTTTACCAATTTCCGCAATCTGAAACTGATCGAACATGCAGTGAAGATGCATTGATAGTTACTGGTGATTGGAATGCGAAAGTTGGAAACAAAGAAGAAGCTTCAGTAGTTGGAAAATCTGGCCTTGGTGACAGAAACACTGCCAGAGATCACATGATAGAATTTGCAAGACCAACGACTTCTTCATTGCAAATACCTTTTTCAACAAAGTAAATGGCCACTATACACCTGGACCTCACTAGGTGGAATACACAGGAAGTAAATTGACTACATCTGTGGAAAGAGGCAACGGAGAAGCTCAATACTATCAGTCAGAACACGGCCAGGGGCCGACTGCAGAACAGGCCATCAATTGCTCATATGCAAGTTTAAGTTGAAGCTGAAGAAAATTAAAACAAGTCCATGAGAGATAAAGTATGACCTTGAGTATATCCCACCTGAATTTAGAGACCATCTCAAGAATAGATTTGACATGGTGAACACTAATGACCAAAGACCAGAGAAGTAGTGGGGTGACATCAAGGACATCATACATGAAGAAAGTAAAGGCCATTAAAAAGACAGGAAAGAAAAGACCAAAATGAATGTCAGAAGAGACTCTGAAACTTGCTCTTGAACGTAGAGTAGCTAAAGCAGAAGGAAGAAATGATGAAGTAAAAGAGCTGAAGATTTCAAAGGACTGCTCAAGAAGACAAAGTACAGTATTACAATGACCTGTGCAAAGAGCTGAAGATAGAAAACCAAAAGGGAAGATCACTCTCGGCATTTCTCAAGGTGAGAGAACTGAAGAAAAACTTAAAGCCTTGAGTTGCAATAGTCAAGGATTCTATGGGCAAAAAATTGAACGAACCAGGAAGCATCGAAAGATAAAAGGAATACCCAGAGTCACTGTACCAAAAAGTATTGGTGGACATTCAGCCATTTCAGGAGGTAGCATAGGATCGAGAACTGATGGTACTGACTCCTCTATGCCAAGAAGTTTGGAAGACAGCTACCTGGTCAACGGCCTAGGAGAGACCCATATTTGTGCCTATTCCAAAGAAAAGTGATCCAGCAAAATGCGGACATTGTCTAACAATATCATTACTGTCACACACAAGTAAAATTTTGCTGAAGATAATTCAAAAACAGTTGCAGCAGTACATTGACAGAAAACAGCCAGAAATTCAAGCTGGATTCAGAAGAGGACATGGAACCAAGGATATCATTGCTGATGTCAGAGGGATCCTGGCTGAAAGCAGAGAATACCAGAAAGATGTTTACCTGTGTTTATTGACTATGCAAAGGGATCCAACTGTGTGGATCATAACAAATTATGGATAACATTGCGAAGAATGGGAATTCCAGAAC